CCACGAGGCGCTCGAGGCCGCGCTCGGGGGCGCCGACGCCAAGGCCCTCGGCCAGGCCGTGGCCGCCGCCCGCCGTCACGGCGTGGACGAGGAGGCGATCGAGGCGGCCGAACGGAAGATCCAGGCACTCCGGGGGGAGGAGGAGGAGGAGGAGGAGGAGGAGGAGGAGGAGGAGGAGGAGGAGGAGGAGGATGGAGAAGGAGAAGGAGGGGAGGAGGAGGAGGAGGAGGGGTGAGGGGGTAGGAGGGAGGAGGAGGAGGAGGAGGAGGAGGAGGAGGAGGAGGAGGAGGAGGGCCGGAGGAGCGAGGAGGAGGAGGAGGAGGAGGAGGAGGAGGATGGGGGGGGAGGGAGGGGGAGGAGGGGGGGGGAGGGTAGGAGGAGGAGGAGGGCGGAGGAGGAGGAGGAGGAGGAGGAGGATGAGGAGGAAGGAAGAGGAGGAGGAGGATGGGGAGGAGGGGGAGGGGGAGGTCCAAGAGAAGTGGCGAGGAGCCCAGTGATCCAACGCATCGAGGAAACAGAAACATCTCTAGACGGGGGCGTGTCGCCCGTCTCGCCCTCTGGGGGCCCTCGCTGCGCCCTGGGGCCGTCAGCAAAACGACTCAGGATGAAGAGCGGGCCATGGGGACAGGGTCGGGGCTCCCAGGGATCCCGTAGTGCAAACATCACGGCATCCGATCTGTGGGAAAACATTGGTGAGGATGAGGGGTGATTAGTAGGAGGGAGGGAGGGGGAGGAGGGAGGTGAACGAGGAGAAGGACGAGGATGATGGAGGAGCAGGAGGAGGACGACGACGACGATAAGAAAAATCATAGTATGTCATGACGTGTTGGGTCCCTTTGGGAATCTATTGGGCGGTCCTCCTTCTCATGGCTGGATACGTCTCGAGATCCTGGTCAGCACGCGATCTTGTGAATCATCGAGTTTCGGTTTCTGACGCGGGGGGAGGTTGAGAAGGAGGAGACGTACGTAGGTTTGTGAACGTCTTCGGACGCGTTCTACGGTGTGTGAAGTGCTCCGAGCTCCCCCGATTAGTCCACATGTTTCTATAAGCGGAGGGGAGGAAGAGGATGAGGAAGAAGACGAGGAGAACACCGAGGACGAGGACCGGGATAATGAGAAGGAGGAGGGGGGGTAAAAAACAAGATGCGGACAAGGGAGGAAGATCACGAGGATGGAGGAATGTGGATGTAAGAGGACGGCGAAACGAGGACATAGTCTTAGGGAGAAGGAGGAGGAGGAGGAGGAGGAGGAGCAACTACGAGGATTAGGACGACGAAGATGTTCTGGAAGGGTTGGAGGTGTTCGGGGGTCCTGAATGTTCTAGGGAATGAGGCCCTTCCCCTGATGTTGCTTCTCCTACGGGTGTATCGTACTCCTCGTGAGCCGCTTGGGATCAAGCTGCCTCCGCCTTGGCCATGCTACCACCCCACGCGCAGACACGTCACGCCACCGTCCCCACCGGCACCCAGACGTCGGGCCGCGGCGGCGCTGCCTCCGCGGCGTCGCGATGACCTCCGCGGCGGCGCTGCCTCCATACAGTCAACGCGCATAGTAAGGACGCGTGCCTTCATCTAGGGTACCCTTGTGTCCTTGCCTCTGCAGCCCGCCCTTTGCCGTTCTCGCTGGCCGCCCGCCGCCCCCCAAAAAACAGCTTCGGCCTCCAAGGGTCTTGCGTCCGCACCACGCGTCCTTAGTATACGTTTTGACTGTACCTCGGAGCAGCGCCCGCCCCCTCGCGAAGCCCACGGGCCCCCGGCCGGTGGCACCCCGTGGTACGCGGCGAGCTCCGCGCGCGCCCCGCGGCAGCGCTGCGCGGCCAGAGGCCCGCAGACGCGCCGACCCGTGGCCACCCGCCACCCCCTCGCATACTTTTTTGATCCGCGGGTCGAGAGCGCACCTCTTCCGGTCGAAGCTAAGCGGGCCGCGCGAAGTTTGAATTGACAGAGGGGGGAAGGCAGAAGGAGGGGCCTCACGTCAAGGCCAAGAGGGGGCAAAGCCCCAGAATCAGGCGGTGCCGAAGACGATGTGTTTGCAAAGGAACGCCTTGTACAGGAACCCGGCGGCTGAAGTACCGGAAGAAGCAAAATGCTGTGGTGGAACACCCCTCGCATACAGTCAAGACGCTGAAATAATGAACAGTTTGGGTTTGGAAGGGGCTCGGTGTTCCTAAGGTTCCTCCAGTGCTGCTCCTCTTGCCCTCCTGGGGCACGGAGGCGCTCACAGGGCCAACAGGGGGCTGCGTTCCTCATGCGTTCCTTCTTTCAGCGGCCCGACTGTATCGGCTGCTCGGACGGCGCTGGCGGAAACCCCGGCAGCCCTCCTGGCAAGGATCCCAGGCCTCGAGAGTAGCACCAGCACCATCGAAGAAGAAAAGACGCCACGAACAGAATTGTTTTGCGCGCCGCGCGGATTCCTTGGATCCGCGCTGGGCCCCCCCCCCCCGGCAGAACGTACAGCGCCGCCCCCTGGCGCGCTCCGCGCGCGAGGGAGGGGGGGTCCAGGGCAGATCCGAGAAACCCGCGCGGAACGCCAAAAGTTTATGTTTATAACGTTCTGTCCTTTTTACCAGCATCGGCGGCCGCCTCTTCCTGGGGCCTGGGGGAAGCCGATCCCGTGATCGGCGATGGTGGCACATTGCCGTTGAAAATACATGCTCCGCGTGCGGATCATGTATTAAGAATGCAGGGATTTAGTGTTAAAAACAACGATGAGTTCATGCATGAATTTATTCATAAATTAACCATGTATCAAAATCATAGCATTTTCAAAATCCTATGGATTCGAACCTGCCCTGTATATTATGTGTTCTCGGGTGGCTGAGAGAGTACAGGCTGGGTCAATTCGTAGGTCGGCCCTGCCGAATCAGGGGTGTTCCTGTGTCCTCCCATGCCCTCCACATTCTGTATGGCAGCGCGGCCTTCGGAAGGGTCTTGCTTGGCATCGCTCGGACGTGTGCACTTTTCCTTCGTCGAGGACCACCGAGGAGCATCCTTTTTCATCTGGCGACAAAACCACGCACGAAACCGAACAAAAACAGAGAATGGACGTCCGAGCCACGGCCAGCTTGTGCCCCCTCGCGTGTCCTCTCCGATCAACCTCAACTGTACCACCAGCGCCGAGATGCAGCATCATCTTCCGCTGGCGGAGGCAAGCCTCTGGGTTGTCGGGGCCCACGCATCGGGGGTCAGCGCGAACGGGGTTCCGCCAAATCCCTCCGAGATCCTCTGGCTGACGCGGACTTGGGAGCCACCTGGAGCACAGGGAGGAGGAGGAGGAAATGAGGAGTAGGAGGAGGAGGCGGAGGAGGAGGAGGACGAGGAAGAGGAGGAGGAGGATGAGAAGGAGCGAGGAGCGAGGAGCCAGGAGCGAGGAGCGAGGAGCGAGGAGCGAGGAGGAGGGGGAGGACCCCGCTCCCCTGCCCTCCGCGGACCCGGGTTTGGGACCTCCTTCGCGGCCAGCCGAGCTTCGCGACGTGGCCCTGGCTGACTGCGGGCTTGCGCTGACCCGGGTCAGTGTCGGTCGGCCGAGCGCAGAGGCGGGTCGGGGAGGGGGGAAGGCTTCTTAGAAGCGCCCCTGCTTCTCAGAAGCCGCGGGCCTCGTCTGTAGATGCAGGGCCGGCGCCTTCTCTAAGGATCGACCTCCTTATAAGAAGCCTCCCCCCCTCCCCCACACGCCCCCCCCTGCGCGCCGCCGAGTCGGTCGCGCGGCCTCGAGGACACGGGCTGCGGAAGGGGCCCAGCCTCCCCGACAGAGGATTCGAGTATGGGATCGACTACAGAATTGATGTACCCCACAAATTGATTCCCCATCGAATCTACGACGAAAGCCTCGAACGCTCGCACATCTACTGGGACTTCTGAATATTTGCCTTAGAGTCGACGAGAAAGCCATTGTTGGGGCAAATCAATTCTGTAGTCGATCCCCTACTCGAGTCCTCCGTCGGAGAGGCTGGGCCCCTTCCGCAGCCCTTGTCCTCGAGGCCGCGCGACCTCGACGGAGAGAGGGAGGGAGGGAGGGAGGGAGGAGGAAGAGGAAGAGGAGGAGGAGGAGGAGGAGGAAGAAGAGGAGGAGGAGGAGGAGGAGGAGGAGGAGGAGGAGGAGGAGGAGGAGGAGTGGGAGGAGGAGGAGGAGGAGGTGGAGGAGAAGGGGGAAGGGGATGTGCTTCCGTGCCGGCGCCAGCCCGCTGTGCCGTGCGCGCCCGGCGGTGCTGCTCTGCCGTCTCTCGCGGCGGCGAGGGCGAGGTGCCCGTGCCGCTGCCCTCATGTCGGGCGTGCCCCCCTACAGATGGGAGCCTCGGGGAAAATTATAAAATGCCCTAAGAATACTCCAACAGGGTCAAAAGGTACCCAAAAAAATACCCCCAAAATATTCCAACAGGGGGATTTTCGGCGACAAATAAAAAGTACCCAAAAGAATAATACAAAATTTGTCCAAAAATAGTCTGGGGACTATTTTTTGAGTACTGTTTTTTCGCCGAAAGCCCCCCACAGGGGGATTTTCGGCGAAGAATCCAAAATACACAAGAAATGCTCCAACAGGGTCAACAGATGCCCAGAAGATAGTCCCCAGACTATTTTGGGATTATGTTTTGAGCATTTTTGTTATTTTCTATTTCTCATCGAAAATCCTCCTGTAGGGGGACAGGCCCGACTTCATGCTACCCTTCGCCCGTGTTCCCCCTGGCTTGGCATCGCTCGAACGTGTGCGTGTTTCGTGCGGCGAGGGCCATCGAGGAGCATCCTTGATCATCTGGCGGAAAAAAAGAACCACGCACGAAACCGAAAAAAGCACAGGGAGTGGACGTTCTTAGCGATGGCCAGTTGGTCGGCCTCCGAGCCGTCGCCGCCTCCGCCAGATTCGCCTCGAGCTGCTGGCCAGGACGCACCCCGGGGAGAGGTCCCGGGAGCAGCGGCATCGGTGCCTCTTGGCCTCCCCAGGGAGGAAGTGAGAGGGGGCGGGCCTTCTCGGAAAGCCTGCCCCGTCTCGCGGGAAGCAAGCAAAGACATAAACAGAAGAATTCGGGTGTCCGCGCGGATTTCTCGGATATCGGCCTTTGACGCCTCTACATTGCGCGCAGGGCGTGCCAGGGGCGGCGCCGGAGGCGCCGCCAGGGGACCCCAGCGCCGACCCAAGAAATTTGCGCGGACCTCCGATGTTGTATATTTGTGCTTATACCATTGCTTATTCCTCTACGGTCGGACCGGAGTATAAGGTCGAGGTCGGCTCGGCGAGGTTGCCCAACTGTTCTTCGTGTTTGTTGGATGCTATTGTGCATCCTGGCGGAGGTATCCTCGAATGTTCTTGCGTTTGACCGGCGAAGGGTTTCATGTTCTTGAAGGATGTGATTCTGCCCTAGGTCTAGCCGTAGATTCTCTTCCCCCCACAATCGCCGCCTAGTCTCGGCCGACACCCGTCGGTTTGTTCGGGCCTTCGGCGTGCGCGCTTGGCTTCCCGTGGCCCGTCGGTCGGTGCATCGGTCGTCGGTGCCCTTGTTCTCGCCCCCGCTGATCGCGGGCTGCGGCCATGGGGGCGCAGCCAAGCATTCAACCCTTTGCGTTATCCTATTCCCCCCCTCCCCCCCGACGACCTCCCTCCTCCTCCTCGTCCACCTCCTCCTCCCTCTCATCCACCCTCCGTCATGCTTGTCCTCACTCCACCAGTCCCTCGCTCCCTGCCTCCCGCACTCCTGCCCCCCCGAGGAGATCAGGGCCCGCGAGAAAGCGCGCGCCGCCCTGAAGACCGCGCTGGACGGCAGCAGCCACGAAGCGCTCGCCCAGGCCGTGCTCGCTCATCCCCTTCCCATGAATACTGTACGCCAGCCTGGGTCGTTGTCCCCCTCATGGTCCGCCCGCCTCTCTATCCTCCTCGACCTCCCAGCCATCCGCCCTGACTCATCCTCTCCTCTAGTTGTACCCTCCTCGTACCTCCTTCCCCTCTCCTCTCGCCTCCTCCTCTCGCCTCCTCCTCTTCCCCTCTCCTCTCGCCTCCTCCTCCTCTTCCTCCTCCTCCTCCTGCTCACAATCCTCCTGATCCTCATCTTCCTCCTCCTCTTTCTCTTCCTCCTCCTCCTCTTCCTCCTCCCTCCCCCATCCTCTCCGGGTCCCGCTTCTCCTTGCCATGCATTATCGCCTCCTCCTCCTCCGTTCATCCCCTGTCCTCTGCTGCTCCTCCACTTCGTCCTCCTCCTCCTCCTCCTCCTCCTCCTCCTCCTCCCTGCCCCATCCTCATCCCTGCCCCATCCTCATGTCTCCCTCCGCCCTCGTCGTTCTCCCTCATCCTGGGTCCCGCTCACCCATGGCATGCCTCATCGCCCCTCCTCCCCCCTGTGCCATGTCATCTCTCCTCATCTCACCTCGTTGCTCCTTCTCGTTCACCCACACAGCTTCCGTTCATCTTCTGTCCCCTGCTTCTCTTCCTCCTCCTCCTCCTCCTCCTTTCTCCCCCTTCTTCATGCCTCTCTCCTCCCTCATCGTTACCCCTCATCCTTGCTCCATTTTCTCATTGGCATGCCTTATCGCCCCTCCTGTGTTCCCTATGCCGTGTCCTCTGTCCTCCCCTCGCCTAGTTACTCCTTCTCGTCTTCCACCAACCTCCCGTTCATCTTCTGTCCTCTGTTCTTCCACATCGTCCTCTTCATCCTCCGCCTCCTCGTCCTCCTCCTCCTCCCTCCTCCTCGATCCCCAGCCTTCTGTCTCTCTCTCACCCCTCGTCCGCCCCCTCATCCTGGGCCCAGCTCCCCTTTGCCATGCCTCACCGGATCTCCTCCTCCCTGGGCTATATGTCCTCTATCCTCGTCCCGCCGATGTGTTCCCTCTCGTCCTCCGCCCGCCTGGCGTTCGTCCTCCTCGATCCTCTTCCTCCTCGTCCTTCTGCTCTGCTTCCGCCTCCTTTTTTTTTCGGCAGGCTACTGGGCGCGCTTCCTCCTCCGCCTCCTCCTGGGTCCCGCCTCCCCTGGCATGCCTGATCGCCCCTCGTTCTCCCCATTCCATGTCCTCGTTCTTCCCCTTGCTCGGTTGCTCCTTCTCGTCTTCGACCCACCTTTAGGTCATCTTCTGCCCCGTGTTCCTCCTCCTCCTCCTCCTTCCTCATCCTCCTCCTCATCCTCCCCCCTCGTCCTCCTCCTTCTCCTTCTCCTTCTCCTTCTCCTCCTCCTCCTCCTCCTCCTCTTCTGTCTCCTCCGTCCCCCATCCTCATGTCTCGCTCTTCCCTCGTCGTGTCCCCTCACCTTGGATCCCGCTTCCCATTGGCATGCTTGATCGCCCCTCCTCTCTCCCTATGCCATGCTCCTATGCTATGTCCTCTCGCCTATCTGCTTTGTCTCGTCCTCCACCAACCTTATGTTCCTCCTCTGTTATTTGCTTCTCCTCCTCCCCCCTCCCCTATCCGCATGTCTCCCTCCTCCCTCGTCGCTCCCCTTCATCCTGGGTCCGCTTCCCCTTGGCATGCCACATCGCCCCTCTTCCTCCCCATGTCATATCCTCTCTCCTCATCTCGCCTAGTTGCTCCTTCTCGTCCTCAACCTTCCGGTCATCCTCTGGCATCTGCGCCTTCTCCTCCTCTTCCTCTGCTCCTCCTCCTCCGCCTCCGCCTCCTCCTCCGCCTCCTCCGCCTCCTCCCCATCCTCATGTCTCGCTCCTCCCTCGTCCGTCCCCGTCATCCTGGGTCCCGCTCCCATTTGGCATGCCCCATTGCCCCTCGTTCTCCCTGTGCCATGTTCTCTCTCTTTATCTCGCCTATGTGTTCCTTCTCGTCCTTCACCCACCTGCCGTTCATCCTCTGTCGTCGGTCCTTGGGCAAGCACTGTGCGACCCCCTACATGTACGGGGCGTGCAAATCTGAATCGCATAAAGACAAAGATGGCTCCCAGCGTCCTAAGTAAGCCCGACCAAGAACGGTGGCAGCCAAGGTTTTCTCTTCAATGTGGTCTGACTGGTACTGGCAGCCCCACTGGTTTCTCCTCCTCCTCCCTCCTCCTCCTTCCTCCCCCTTCTTCATGTCTCGTTCGTCCCTCGTCGTTCCCCTCATCCTGGGTCCCGCTTCCCCGTGACATGCCTCCTCGCCCCTCTTTCTCCCTATGCCATGTTCTATCCTCATCTCGCCTGTTTGCTCCTTCTCGTTCTCCACCCACCTTCCGTTCATCCCCTGTCCTTCGCTGCTCCTCCACTAATTACCTCCTCCTCCTCCTCCTCCTCCTTCTCCTCCTCCTTCTCCTCCTCCTCCTCGTCCCTCTGTCGCGCGGCAGTTGCCTCAAGGACGCACCCGGCGGCAAGGGTGGTGGTCCTGCACACCCGTACGTGCACCCGTACGGAGCAGATGGTGTCCCACGCCTTCCCCGACGCCCTCGAGGTTGAGCTGGCCGCCGACGGCTCGTGCAGCAAACCGGTGTTGCTGGAGCTCCAGCGCGCGGGCTGGGCCGTCGTCCTGCTGGACCCTGTGTCGAGCCTGCCCCTCCTCGTGCTGTACGGCGCCGTACCAGCTGCTATGCCGCAGAGCTCAGTGCTGGCGGAGTTTCTTGGGATGGCCTTCTCAGGGCAAGTTGCAGATCGACCAGCAGATCTCTTTCTTGACTATATGGGCGCTGTCCGCGTCGGCCAGAAGTCTCCGTCCCAGCAGGCGATTGACAGATCAATGTATGCATGTGTGCAAGTTTTCGGTAACAGATTGCTGGGAAAACAGCACATCCGCAGTGTAAGCCATGTAAAAGCCCACAGATCTGGCACTGAGTATGAGCAGCTACGGCCCGTCGAGCGCCGCCTGACTGATGCAAATATTGTAGCAGATGCATATGTAAAGCGAGCGGTGCAGATCCATCCCAAACCCCCTCACGAGCTCCTTGAGGCCCTCGAGGGTTCTGAGCGGGACTGCGCACAGCTTGTGAAATTAGTAGCCTCTGTTTTGCCACTTTTCGAGCAGGAGGAGAGGTGGCAGAGGCTCCCCGTGTTTCGTAGACAGCGAGATGTTAGGCGGGAGGGCTGGCACGACTGGTGCTCCACAGCGTTTGGGACCCAATGCCGAGCCTGCCTGATCGTCTTGAAAGATTCCCAGGACAAGCCCCTGACGGGGTGCCGTGGGACCCCCGACTTCCTCAGAGCCTTCCTCCGCTCCCCTCAGGGTCACCAACTAGTTGCCGTCCACCAGTCTGGTAGTAGATGTGCTGTCCCTCGAGCGTGTCACGGACACGGTGCGGTAGTGCCCGAGCCCGGGGCCATTGCTGGTTTTCGGCTGCCTGATCCTCCTGAGCAGTCTGATAAGCCAGTGTTTGTATGTGTGCTGTGCGGGGCTTGGGCCCAACAGAGGCGTAAGCTGAAGCTCCGAAGCCCCTGCACCCATCCCACCCCGAAGGGGATCGAGGTGTTGAGAAATCTTCGAAAAGGCGTGGGCCCTCACAGGGGGCTCGCCAAGCAGATTTTGTCGACCCTCCCTCTGGACCGTGTGGCGCGGACACCGCGTGCCCCGACGGTTGAAACCACCAGCGTTTCTGTGAGGTCGAATCCTGACGCAAGCTACCCCTTTGAAGCTCGAATGGCCGCCCTCCACGAGCGAATTCGTCAGAAGGAGTTGAATTCTCGAGCGAGCTCCAGCGGAGAGTTCGCAAGCGAGTCCCGGGTGTGACATTCAGCGAGCGTGGGGGGTACAGTTTTGCCACCCTGCTGGAACCCAATTGTCTTGGCTGAAGCCTGGTCCGCCTCTCGGCGCTTGTCTTATCTTATTCATCCCCCCTCCTGTCCCCCCATTTTCCGCCACTCCATGGCGGCAAGACCGGGCTTCGTGCATCCTCAGATCCTGCACGCTGCTCTGTCGCGAGGCAGGTGCCTCAAGGGCGCACCCGGCGACAAGGCCGGTAGTGCTGCGCATTTTCGCGCATTTCCTCATCCCCTCCCCCCCCCTCCCTGTTTCGCCGCCCCCTGGCGGCAAGGCCGGGTTGCGTGCATCTTGAGATTCTGCACCTTGCCCCTGTCGCGAGGCAGTTGCCTCAAGGACCCACCCGGCGGCAAGGCCAGTAGTCCTGTTCGCCCCAGTCGCGAGGCAGCCGCTTCAAGGACGCACCCGGCGGCAAGGCCGGTAGTCCTGTTCGCCCCCGTCATGAGGCAGTTGCCTCAAGGACGCACCCGGCGACAAGGCCGGTAGTCCTGCACACTCTTACATTTTCCCCCCACCCCATTTCTCCCCCTCCATCATTCGACGTTCCCTAGCGGCAAGGCCGGGTTGCGTGCATCGCAAGATTCTGCAGGCACGCCACAGTCGCGAGGCAGTCGCCTCAAGGACGCACCCGGCGGCAAGGCCGGGTAGTCCTGCACACCCCTTCGTCTCCGCCTTGCCCCCCCCCTCCCCCTCCATCTTCCGCCACTCCCTGGCGGCAAGGGCGGGCTTCGTGCATCCTCAGGTAGTCCTGCACACTCTTACGTGTCCCCCCTTCCTCGTCCCCCTCCTCATTTCGCCGCTCCCTGGCGGCAAGACCGGGATTCGTGCATCCTCAGATGCTGCGCGATTGCCCCCGTCGCGAGGCAGTTGCCTCAAGGACGCACCCGGCGACAAGGCCGGTAGTCCTGCACACTCATACGCCTCACCTCATATCCCTTTACCCCTCTATCTTCCGCCAGTCCCTGGCGTCCTTGCCTTCTCCCTTCCTCTCCGAGGACATGATCCTTGTCCCCTCCCCCTTCGCCCCCCTCCTGCCCGCACGGTCTTGGAAAGCGGAGCGTGGCTGCCCGCGGGGACGTTTCCCGCGAGACCCCGCTGTCACTGGGACGTGGCCGTCGGCGGGCGTGCCTTCCACCTCGAGGTGGCACAGGCGTTTGCTAAAGATTTGCGGTAGGCGCGTACGAGCCACTATTAATAGGTGCGTCGCACGGTAAATGGTGCCGTTTAACGGAAGGTGGGACTTTCCCAATCCTCATCAGCACCGCTTCGATAGGGCGGGTAAGCCCAAGCACCCCACCCGACACACAGGGTTATGTCGACCCTTAAGGGCATCAGCATTACATTGCAATCCTCCTCCTCCCTCTCATCCTCATGTTTCTCTCCGCCCTCGTCGTTCCCCCTCATTCTGGGTCCGCTTCCCTTTGGCATGCCGGCATGCCTCGTCGCCCCTCTTTCTCCATATGTCATGTCTTCTTTCCATATCTCGCCTGTTAGCTCCTTCTCGTCGTCCACCCACCTTTCGTTCATCCCGTGTCTTCTACTCATCCTCCTTCTCCCCCTCGTCTTCCCATTCCTCCTCCTCCTCCTCCTCCTCCTCCTCCTCCTCCTCCTCTTCCGTCCTCCCCCATTATCATGTCTCCTTGTTTCTTCCCTTGTCGTGCACCCTTTTTACCAGCTTCTCTTCGCATCATCCGCAGCATGTCTCCTCCGTATGTCTGTCGTCCTCCACCCACTTTCCGTCCATCCCCTGTCCTTTGCTCAATTCCTTTTCCTTACATATACCTCCTCCCTTTCACACCCCGAGGACGATCGCATGGGCGGGCTGGGCGTTTCGTTTGAGACGTCCTTACCATGTATGCCCCTGAGCTCAAACATTGGCTGCAGCTTCACAGATGGGGGGCGGGCCGCGTCCAAATTGTAGCTCTCGCCTTAGCGCCGCGCGCCTTCGTTTTACACAATTGCACGATATTCACGGATTGAGGGCGGGCCATTTTCAATGTGTGGTTCTCGCCGTAGCGCCGCGCGTATTCGTTTAATCTAGTGCACGTGATGCACTGATGGAGGGTGGGTCGTTTTCAACATTTGGTTCTCGCCGTAGTGCCGTGCACATTCGGTCTAAACCGTTGCAAGGGTGTCACGGATTGAGGGCCAACATGTGAGTCTCGCTTTAGCGCCGCGCACACAATTTCTGAACAGTTGTACGAGGTTCACAGAAATTGTGCGTTGGAGAGATTCAGGATTGTGAGGGTGCAGCAGTTACGTTGGTTCGCGGTGTTGAAGTCCCAGGAATGGTGTTTTGGCACGGTTCAGGATCGTCCAGGCGCAATTTTGAGGTTGGTTTGTGGCGTTGGAGTCTCGAGAATTGTGTGTGTTGGCACGCTTTAGGGTCTTCACCCAACGAGGCAGTCCCTTCAGGGGAAATGGGCTCTTGCAGGGGCATTTGAAGAGGGAGCTTGGGGGGAGGGTGGATTGAAACGGTGGGTATTGGGTTTACGCTGGTTCTCCTCCTCCTCCTCCTCCTTCTCCTCCTCCTCCTCCTCCTCCTCCCCTTCCTACCCCTCCCCCTCCTCCTCCCAAGAGCAATCATCCCCCTCCTCCTCCTCCTCCTCCTCCTCCGCCTCCTCCGCACCCTCTTTCTTCCCCCCTCCTCCTCTTCCTCCCTCCTCCTGGTGCCGTTTCCTCTTCCTACTAATGTCATCCTCTTCCCCACCTTTACCATGCGTCCCCCCATCTTTTCCAACTCCTGACATCCCTCCGACTCGCCCACCACCGCCATTACACGTCGCATCGCGATCATCAGCATCGTCATCGTCGTCGTCGTCGCTGCCGTCGTCTTCGTCGTCACCGTCGTCATTATT